TACTGCTACTTCATTTTACAAGGAAAAAATATTTTTTTACTTGCATAAATATGTAAAAGTATATTACATAACACATGAGATATTAATAAAATTTTGTAGAGGTACTATAATATAACATTTCAACATTTTAATGCTTCAAGCATACAAAGTTTTGAGTACTAAAAATGTATTATGACTTGTTAACATAATTTTTAACTTATATGCTGTGATTATTACGCGAAACATTGTATAAAATTTAATCTAATATTCTTAACACGAGTAATTATGATTAAATTGATAGAAGTATACACAAAAATAAATGTGACGCTTTGCATTATGTATACTAATTTAAAAAAAATATGTTAACATGTGTATAAATACTGTAACGTTTTATCTGGTAATTTTGAAAGTAAAAATAAAATTTAATTTATGAATTCTATACTCACTGAGGTTAGCAATGTTTTTCAAAGCACTGAGCAAACCATTCATCACGTCCACATCACTCAGTACAATTTCAAATATGTTTTTAAAAAAAAATGTGATGGTTTATTTTTAACAATTATAAGTAATCGATGTTATATAGGTCTGCAATTCAAACCGGACGAAAGTTGAATGGAGAGTGCAATTTACTACGGATGTGATACCGTTTGGTCTTTTAACATTCACATGCGCGATACGGTTTTATCGATTGTTTTAACTGTACTGTTTGCAACCCCCTGCACCTATCGTAAGGTTCACCCTATGCACGTGCTATTTTAGGAATCCTATAACATAAATTTAACCATTACCGTTAAGCCTAAACATAGTTTTTAATATACACATAAACACATGTACTTAATAAAAAGACAGCAGATATAAATTAACTATTACATCATTGATTAATTAGGACTAGCTTTCGTATAAAAAAGATTAATCGATCAAAGTAATTAAACAAAGGTAATAAAACTATAAAAGATTAGAAATTCTGTCAAACATAGAGTATAAACACGATTAATCGCCTGTCATTAGGTTAGCATCAAAAAGCTTGTATCATTAAAATTGTTTTATTTTTAAGTCATTATCATTCATTTCCATCAACAAAAGTCAAATTCGTTTGACGAGACTTCCATCTCTAATCATTTTGCTCTTAAGGAAAATTTGCTTTGTAAATCCAGTGAAAAAACGTGACGAAAATCTGTTAGAAACTTAATTACTGAATACTATAGTTTATTATGAATTTGTTTGTTTTTAGTATTCTTATACTATTTATTTAATGTATCATTTTATTTAATCATTGACTCCCTAACATATGAAAGAGGGCCACCACTCTCTGTAGTATGTTAATATATGAAAATAGAAAGATGTAAAACTGAATTTATATTATTTAATTTAGATAAAAAAATATATATATATATATATTATACATATATTTATAAAATATAAAAATGTTGAAGTAAAGAAACTTAAAATATATGTAGGGTGAATAATTTTTTTAAAACAAGTTTTTTTTTGGATATCTCTTCGTATAAAACATTGCATAATGATTAATTTGGTAACATTCGGGTAAGTAAAATATAAGATACTTTTATCTTTTGAATATGCTGTAGCGTTATTTACTATAGTTTATTTTTATACTTCATAAAATATTTTATAAGTTACATAATTTTTTTTTTGAAAAAGAGTTTTTAAAGACGGTAAAAGAGATGACTGTGTGGAATGTCAAGGAAGATATAAATGATGTGTGTAATAGATTTGCTAGTTGTGTAAACAATATTGCAAAAGAGATTGTTGGTGAGAGTAGAAGGAGAATGTCAGGAAATAAGGAAATCTAGTCGTGGATTGAGGACGTTCAAAAAATCATAGAAAGTAAGAAAAAACAGTTCAAAGTATAGTGGAAGAGCAAAAGGAGAGTAGATTGGATAGAGTATAAATGCTTGTGCAAAGAAGCCACATGTGCAGTAAGGCAAAATTTAAGAAGTACGATGAGTTGTATAATAGGCCAGGAATAAAAGAATGTGAAATAAAAGTTTATAGACTTGCAGTCTATTGGCTGTGGCATAAATGAAAAAGAATAAAGTAGTAGGACCAGATGGAATGCCAGTTGAAGTATGGAAAATATTAGGCGGCGTTGGCATAAGGTGGTTGTAGGATGTTTTTAATAAAATCCTATTAGAAAGGAAAGTGCCAAAAGAATGGAGTAATAGTATTATGGTACTGATAATTAAAGGCAAAGGAGATATACAAGAGTTTGAACATTATGGAGGCATAAAGTTTATAAGACATAGTATGAAAATTTGGGAAAATTTAATAGATAGGAAAATAAGAAATGAGACACTGGTATTCAAAAACCAGTTTGGATTTATGCCTAGTAAGTTAACAATGAAGTCATTATTTCGTGCGAGACACCTAATATAAAAGTATAGGGAAAAGAAGAAAAATCTGTGTATGATATTTATAGATTTGGATAAATTGTATGATAGAGTACCGAGATAGGTGTTAGAGTGGGTATTAATGAGAAAAGGAGTCCCACAGAGGTACAATAATATAATAGAGGGTATGTATGATTGCACTTGTACCAGAGTAAATAGTGTGGGAGGAGTAATAGAAGGTTTTAGGGTAAGAGTAGTAGTACACTAAGATTCTGACTTAAGCCTTTACTTTATTTATATAATGATGGATGAAATTACTAGAAGATTTTAGGAGAGGTGCCGTGGTGCATGTTGTTCGCTGATGATTTAGTGTTAATAGGAGAAAATAGGGAAGAAATTAATCAAAGTCTAGAGATGTGGAGATCAGCTCTTGAAGAAAAGGGTGTAAAAATAAGTAGTAGTAAGGTTGAGTATATAGAGTAAGAGTTTGATATAGGAGAATACGAGGTAAGTGAAATGAGGAGATCAGTGACAATAGGCGAGGACGTTATAGGAGAGGTGGAAAGTTCTAAGTATATAGGATCAGTTGTGCAAAAGAGANCAAAAGGAGAGTAGATTGGATAGAGTATAAATGCTTGTGCAAAGAAGCCACATGTGCAGTAAGGCAAAATTTAAGAAGTACGAGTTAAATAATGATAGAACAAAATATAAATATATATATATATTAACACTATTTACATAGGGTGGTTGAAGTGGAGAGAAGAGTCTGATGTGTTATGCGATAAAAGAATTCCAATGAGGTTGAAAGATAAATTCTATAAGACTGTAGTGAAACCAGCTATGATGTATGGTTCAGAGTGTTGGGCGTTTGACAAGAGAGTAGAGCAGAGAATGAGTGTAGCAGAGATGAGAATGCTTAGATGGATGAGTGGAGTGATTAGAGAAGATAGGATAAGGAGTGAACATATAAGAGCGAGTATAAGTGTAGAGTCAATCATAGATAAGATGAGAGAAAATAGACTTGGATGGTTTGTTTATGTTATAAGGAGAGAGGAATCGGAAGCTATAAGAATAGTTATAAAAATGAATGTTGAAGGAAGAAGAGGTAAGAAAGACTAAAAAAAGAGATGTAGGGATGTTATTAAATGTGATATAACGACGGCTGACGTGAGCGTAGATGATGTGGGCTATCGTGTGAAAGTGGATGTTTAGGGCAAGGGGGGTGGCCGACCCCAAGTAATTGGGATTAAGGCGAGGAAAATGATGATGATGATACAATATTATTTTTTTCAATGTATACTTTATAAATTTTATAAATAAACAATAAATATTATTATCTACAATGAAGTAGTAAGTTTTAGTTTATGTAATAGTTTTCGTCCTAAGTCAGACAATTACACAATTGAGAATTTAAAGTAATATCCACTGAATATTTTAAAAGAAAAACTAGATTTGAAATTACTTAATTAATTTACATTTAATCCATTAGAATAGGTAGAGTTGAGAATAGTAATATATTTATGTGTCTACAGTAAAAAAACAAATATTAAGTGTCTTATTCGTCTATACAACTATACAAGTTTTTACATAATGTGTTTTATCCGTGAAACATGTGAAGTTTGTCGTCTTTATATTGTTACAAATAAAATGGATTCTTGCGTCATATGGCTTTAAAAAACAAGTCTAAAAATATTGACAAGATGTTAAAACTTCGTGGCATCTATTCGGCTGGTAATCTTTTTCAAAAAGCTTTTCTGTTTTCTATTCGTTTAAAACAGTACACAATGAGTTTTTTTTCCAATTTTATTGGAACAAAACTACAGAGACGTTAGTGATATATTAAGAGCTTATTTTTTGAGTGTTGTGTGTATTGGGCTATAGTAAACAAATTTTGTAAAAACCCTAGAGAATAGTAGGCATACCACATTGCGATTCATGGTAATAAATTATTGATGTAACTATATAAAGTTCTATTTACTTTCAGATAACAACTCATGAACAAAATTTGAAAAGTCCGCATCTGGTCAAGCCAATCAAGTTATATTATAGTTAGTAAAAAAAAACGCAAACTAATTTGATTTATAGTTATTATTAGCCATGAACTTGATAAAGCTATGACATATTTTTCGGGAAAGGGATATTTGGATAACAGATTTAAAGAACAGCAAAAATTATACAGTGAAAATATTATTTTTTTAAATTTTAACTGTCATTTTTTTGCAAAACCATTAGATTTGTAAATTTGTAAATTTGTTTATATGAGTTATTATTTTTCAATTTAAAAAATATATCAATTTAATTGCAATAGATACTAATAATATATAATAAGTTTTTTACTTTTAAGTATCCTTCATAATTGATCTAACATTTAAGATTTAGTTTAAACCATTACTAAAAATTAAATAAATTTTAATTATATTGTTGATCCATTTTGGGACCTTTGAATTCGTTGCTTAATTTTCAAGGGTTAACGTTTGTAAATAAGAAATTGTTTATTTTGTTACAGTGGAAGTATATTAGAAAACATGATGTTTGTTAAACTGGAACTGTTGAATATAAGAAAGATATTTTCAATTTAAAATACTATATTTTTATAAATTTAATACTGCTAAAGTACGCATTATTTTTATTGGGGATATATATATATATATATAATTGGAATATTTTACTTACTGCGTTTCATTGAGTAAGCATGTAACATAGCTGTAATCATGTTGCATTTGGCATCTCGACGGACTATCAGTACATCCCTTCGTTTTAATGCTTTGACAAGTGAATCACAACACATAGTCAATTGGTCCTTAAGCAACTCGATAGCTGTGACTAATTCCTCCACGCCTGTTGAAAATAATGTACAAATGAAGTAACATGAACTTTAATTATAATAAATTGATACAGAGATAAAATTTAGTGTAGACCTCATCTGGGCAGATAATTAATGTAATTTATTTCTTATGTATGTCAAATTTTATTAAAAAAAAAAATTTCTTTGATTATTTAAGCTGATTACATAAAAACTTGATGAATGTTTATGCATTTTATGTAATAAGGTGGTAACTTATAAAATATTAATATAACAGATCTTGTAAATCTAATATGTTTAATACCAACCAATAAATGGTTATTACTATTAAGCAAACAGGGAAATCTACATTTTAGAACACAGCTGATTAAATTCAAATGTCATTGGCATTAATGATGAATATAAATAGACACAATGTACATCTAATAAACATGTGGGAAATTAATAAGAGTTTGGAGTGCAAAATGGACCAAAACATACAACGCACAAAAGTTTATATTAGTTAAATGACAATCTACACGGTATTTTTAAATTGTAAGTAATTTGTTAACTTTTACCAAATATTTTTTTTTCATTTAAAAGTTCATTTTAGTTTTAAGTTTCATCAAATTTTTTTTTTATCTTACACCTTCAAATATGTTTTTTTATTTCACAAACCTAACAGTTGTACATTATATTATGATAAGTAGGATATTACAAAAAAGTAGTTTTAATTTAAATAAAAACAATTTTGATTTAATCTCTTATTTATCTTTAGAGGTTGTGTAGTAATTTAATTCACTTTGATTTTAAAACATTCAATGAGTTATTATTGTGAAACATTGAAATTTGAGTGTTTCAATTAATGTAAATCGTAATTAATTTTATGAGATCCCTGTAATTTCAAATGAGTACCGTTATTTAGTATATATAATAAAATGTTTGAAAGATTAAACAGTAACCATGTATGAGTACTTGGGAGTGTATGTTTTAGTATTTTTACAATGATAATTTTGTATTTTCTTAAGAACTTGTTTAATGTATTAGTTAATTAGTTCAAATCAATTTTTTTCAAAATGATTTAGTAAGATATTAAATTAGGAAATGAAGTATTTTAATATAAAATACTACTATTTTACTATTTTTTTCTTAATGATGAATTGAATTGTAATTTAATAGTTATCACTAAAAAAATTGAAGAATAGCAATTTTAACCATACATTTTAATCACAAATATTTTATTGTATTATACTACTTTTACAAGGGATTTCATGTCGCTATAAAAAATTATGTATTTATACTAGAACTTTGTCCATTTATTTAGAAGCTCAATTGAACTTAGTTATTAGTAAATTAGAACATTTACATGAATAATTTCCTAATTTAATATTTGAATTTTTAATTTAATTGTAAAACATCAAATAAGTAATATAAACGTTAATTACAATTATATTATATCTACTTTTTCGTTGAAGCCTTTTGGCGCTAGTACTCGTAAAAGAAAACTGATCACTTTGATTACTCCAGTTAGTCTGTTCGTTTGAAGATTCGGACTCGATGCTTCTGTAGTGACCCATTTTATAAATATCCACTAGCAACTGATCCATAAGATCGGCAACAGAATATCTTTTTTGATTACAAATAGCTCTATTAAATCGTCTAAAATTGGGGTGTGCGTTATTTTCATTGGAATTCCGAACTGGGTTCTAGAAAAATATATAATTCAATTAATATAAAATTTTACAGTTTTGCACTATTTAGAAAAGGAATTTTTTAAACTTTTTTAGTATGCAGTAATATATACATATGATTATTATACATTTTTAGCTATCTATAGAGGTTAAAAATTAAGATTCATGGTTTTTAAAACTGATTTTGAAATTTGGCAACATATACGGATTGTATTGTTTCTTCTGCACTCATTTGTTAACGACTGTGAATGTATTTAGAAATGCAAATATTACAGTAAAGGTGTTTCATTTTTATTCAAATTATTTTTTTCTTCTTTTGATAATTTTTTAATGTTTCAATATTATTTATATATTTTTGTGAAAGTTTATAATTAAAAAAAATTAATTTATTACCATAAATTTTAGCTCAGTTTGCCAGTTTGAAATTGACATCATTAAATAGGAAAATTTAGAAGAATTAAAAAAATTATATCGTAAAGATTAATATGCAGTCAGGAAATTGTATAATTACTTTATAGTAAATTTATCAGAAAAGCTTAATATTTTTTTGCATTTTTATCCTAATAGATAACTTAAAATAAAATAATAATAATCATTTCCTGGTCACTTTTGGTGATTAAAAAGATTATTCAATTGAAATATGATCTAAATTAATTTTAATGATTTACTTTAACTAAAATAACTAATAAAAAAAAATTATTAAAAAGATCTAAAAATCCATTGTTAATTCAGGAGACCTAACAATCATTTTTTTAGAAATGATTTATATAGCAACATTTTACCAAAATATTTGGAATATTATAAGCTAGTAGTTGCATACACAAATAGAGTAATGAAATTATTAAATTACAAACTAAAATGATTTAATTTTGGAATTGAAACCTATTATATCGAACTTGATTCGTCAATAAATACTTTGAAAACATTATAAATTAATGATTTTAACTGTCTGTATGGAAAACATGTGATAAGTAACTGTTTAATTGATAAATTAGAATTTTTTTTCAATTTTTGAGGGTAATATCTTCAACTAGATACGAATTATAATCATTTGACGTATCGTTAAAAAAAGTAGGTCAAGTTAGAGCAGAGAAAATAAATGATAGTCACAAAAAAATACCCTCTCAGCTTTGCATCGAAGCTAAAATCTAAAATATAGTAAAATAATTTTAATATGAATAAAAATTTCTTCTTGAAATTTGATAAAAGTCAAATGAGTTGAAAATTTATTCTAACTTAAAAAGAATTAAGAAAAAAATGCAAAAAATTCCTTTACACGGGTTGGATGTTTGTACTTCAAGCGCGTAAAACACAAGTGTTACCGATTCAGCAACTGTACGTCGCTTCAGTTCACTGAAAAAAAATAGTAATTTAAGCTAGTTCGACTTTCAATGTTATTTTTCTCTACTCAAAAAAAGCAAAAAAATTTAAATAAGTTTAACTTTCTATGCTATATAAATTTCATTTTCATAATATTTATGAAAATCAATGTACTTTCCTTCTCAGGTATTTTAAAATAAAATAAAATACAAAACCCAAAATTTTAATACAAAAATAGCATATTTCTAAATACAGTAGTCATTTTCACCATGAAGACAAATTTTTTTTTTTCAAATTAAAGTATATTACATAAGCATTAATTTAAGATATATATAAAAGTGTCAGTATTTATTAAACATTTTCAAAAGTTAAGTTGAAAAAGTTAATTTTGCCATTTTGAAACCCGTTTCTGTGGGCTAGTAAGGGTCAAATGTTCACAAAAATATATTAAATGATAGGTAAATACCTAAGGTATCTATAAAAAAAAAAAAAATTATATTGATTCGGTCATTTTTAAAAAAGTTATGGAAGCTTTAAGTAAAAAAAAAAAATGAAAAAATGTTGAAAATTAACGATTTTTAAATTTGTAATTTTTTGAGGGATTTCCCCCGTTTATGGGGAACAAGGGAATTTTTTTAGATTTTTGTGGGTAATGTCTTCGACTAGATACAATTTATGACATTTTGACGTATTGTTCATCAAAATCGGTCCAGCAAGAGCTGAGATTGAGCATTTACAGACACACACACAAAAATAATAATAAAAAATAAAAAAACACATTATAGTAAAATTAATACCTTCTCAGCTTCGCATCAAAGCTAAAATACTTAAAGTAATAGATACAGATATAATATCATATAATTTAAATAAATTAACTAATATTTACTATTGTTGTCATTTGTAAATATTAGCTTAAAGTCCATACTTCTGTTTGTTTAATTAAAAAAAGATAAATAGATTATGAAAATTAATGTTGCAGATGAAAATTTATTGATCTACATGAGTACTTTAATTTTCACACAAAATAAAAGCATCAACTGAGAAAATTTTGTTAAAATAAAAAAAATAATTATAATCGCTTTACTGGTTAATAACTTGTTGGTGGATTAATTTTATTTATACCAAAAAAAAGATATAATTGTTTTTTAAATTCAATGCTTTCGATATATTTTTTTTTACTAAAAATAAAAAATATGCTAACAAAATATTTTTTATTGACATAACTGGTAACTGTCAAATACATTTTATATTTGTAGCAGCTGCGGTTCTAAGTAAATAAAGTTGGTACGGTTGTGAAATAAAAACACCAACCTATTGCATTTAGGTAGAAATGAAAGTCAATTTCCAAAAATTTTCTGTTTGTTTAATCGGTGTACAATTATTTGAGAACTTGTTTTCAATTTACCAAAGAATTTATAAATAACAGCCGAATCATAAACAGGTAAGTAACAGCTAAATTTGATTATAGTTAGAAACCTTAATAGTTCAGAGCTCACTAAGGAAGTATTAGAGTACTTAATAAGGTTCTACGTAGAAGAGAAAAATAGCATTAATAAATAAACAAAGAAAGGTCAAATGGAAAAAACATCAACTAAGTAATATCAATAAGGGTATTCTAAGACATTTCACTTGATGGAACTATAACAAAACGAACCAATGTAACGTAACAAATCAAAAATAAAAGAAAACTTTAAAACAAAGGATATTAATGATTATAACGAAAAAAAAGTAATGAAATTTATTTCAAAATAAATATTTATCATAATAATATTTTTATTTTTTTTCAAGTTGCTATAGTGACCAGAATAAAAACGTGGAGTAAAATGAATAATACACGTTTTGTTCGTAGTTAAAAATAAGATATCAACATACCGAATATTATTAAAAATATTTAATATTTTAAATTAAAATAAATTTGGAGAATTTCATGAAAAATAAATTTGTTTTTTCATTTTTTATGAGTTTTTAAATGTATAATTACCGTTTAATTACTAATTAGTAATTATATGTGTTGTGGAAAATCTGAAAGCAGATTAGAAATCTACAGCGAAATTTCATATAAGTAAGGTTGAATTGGGTTTTTTTGAATTCATCTTAATATTGTAAATCGCAGAACTCTTTCTTCGTCACGTGTTTCCAGAAACTTATTGTTAAGAAAATTTATTTACGTACATCAAAAAGAATACTAATTGTAAATGCGGCAAAAATAAGCTCTAAAATATAAAATTAATTTGATTTGTTTTTTCATAATTTTTTTTGTTTATGAAATCATAATAGTTATACTAATAATATATATGGCTATAATTTTAATGGAAGTATAGTTTATTTAAGTCTTTAGCTGAAAATTTATTTCAACTTAAATATTTCTTAAAACTCCTACTTGAAACTTAAGTAATCAAACACCTTTAAAACAGAATAATAAAATACAATTCGCCTAAATGGCGTATTAAAGAGAGGGGATCCAGTGGGTAGCTCCCCACTGGATCAGCGCTATCAACATATTTTAAAGCCGATATTTATGAAATATGGCACTAATGACTTTTTTTTGTCATCACTTCGCTTTTTGATAAAAAAATTTTCTCTAGCATGCTTACCATGATTACTGATTTCCTCTCATTACAAGTCTATCTTTTGTTATTTATTTCTTTTTATTGTAACGAGTTGAAGAGGAAGTAACTATGGTTCAAATGACTAGAAAGATTAATTTTTGACTTCAGTTTTATAAACTTAAATCTTATTTAATAAATAGATAATAAACATTAAAATGTTATATGCTAAAATTAACGTTTATTTATGTAATAAATGTCTACAGTATTTCTAGTAAAATTACACTGAGTTTAAATATGTCTTATATTTATACTTATTTAAAAAGCTTTATTTATTTATTTATAAAATAACATTTTAGAGGAATTAAAAATTTTTTTTTTTTACAAAATTAATAATAAAGTATTATGCTAAAACATTACATTATAATGTTGTTAGCAAAAATAATTGAATTATTAAAACGAAATCTGGATGCTTTTGAAGATCAATTAAATAAATTAAATTATCTATGTGATTGTATGTCATTATTAGCCTACGTAAAATATTAACTGTTGTCGTTAATATTAGTGGTTTTTCCATAAACCTTTATGGGATAATACTTTATATATTATATCATATGTGTCGGATATGTTACAGCACAGCGTCCAGGGTATTGACAATCTAACCTCATTAATTCTCCATCTCTTTTTCCTTTGTTACATCATTAGCATTTGCACAGCCTGTCGTTTCTAGTTATAGTTTGAACAAACGGATAATAATAATTGGATAATACCACACTAAGAAATAAATAAGTCAACATTTCTGACCAACTTATTAGATTGAGGTAATCGAGCCATTTTGGACCATATTATCTTTTGGTAGTTTCATATAAATTCAAAAATTTCATTTCATATGATATTTGATGCATTTAATAAACACAAAAATGGGTTTAGAAAAGTATAATTTGGTATTGGATGAAAATTATTATAAATAATTATTTATAAATAACAAACAATTTTTTTTTTTTAATATTGCATCAAGACCTTTAACTTTTATGTACGTTTGCCATAAAAGTTATAGTTATATAATTTTTAATAATTTCTCTGTAAAAATTACAATACTAAATTATTAAATATCAATTTCATACTATATTTAATTGCTATAATAAATATTTATACATATATTACGCTTATAAATCATAAAACTTGTAATCAGGATATAAATAAGGAAATAGGAGATCATGTTGCTTTATATAATAATATATATAATAATCCACCAATGTTTTAAAATTAAACATTATCAACAGATTTGCATTGAAGCATTTCTTATGATAATGATTTTAATCACTATCAGATTAAATCTATACTGAACCTAACTATGCCACGGCCTCACTGTGCTGGTTTTTTTTATGTCTGTCGCCACTTTTTCTCATTCTCATCGGATCGATTTCGTTCAACGATCTGTTAAAAGATCACAAACTGCATTTAGTTAAAGATATTGCTCTTGAAAATTGAAAACAATTTTTTCGATCATTTATAGCTGTGCTTACTATATGTAATGTCAACGATTGATAATATTACATGTATATATTTATTGAAACACGTATTTGAGAGATAATTAAACCATTTATACATATAATCATAGAAGGCTACGTCAAATGATACAGATAAAGGAATTATATTCTTTTGGGGTAATAAATAATTAATTGTTTAAACACGCAAAATTTAATTTATGGGTATAGATACTAAAAGTTATAATTAATGTCCTACAGAGAAAGTTTATTTGACCATTACTATACTGCCTTAACTTGTCCTCTTATTATATTGTGTTAATTACAAGTAAGTAACTACTATATAATATTTGATAGTTACTATATTATATTATAAACTACACGCTATAAATTTCAAATGAAATGTATTTTTATTCATAAATCATACTTATTATTCAACATCAGCAGATTTTAAAAATAAAAAAAAATCAAATGGTAATATTTAATTGAATTTTATTGCAATTAATATAATAACAAATATATGCTAAATTAAAAAATATGGACGATAATATTTTTGAATTATAATTCAATAGTAATTTTTAAATAGTAATTACATTTCCCGTATCACAATCATTTAATCATTTAGTTGTTTTTTTATTTCTTCCGCGAATCAAAATTTAACCAATTTTTAAACAATCATAATTAACAAAATTTTTAGGACTTTTTCTTTACAATTATAGACGAATTACTCAGTAACTAAGTGTCATACATCAAATCTAATAAATCACTTAAATATTAACACAAGGATCCCCTTGGTAATTTTATCACATTATAACTTTATTATAAATATTAAAGAATGATATTAAGTATATATGTTATAGTGTAATGGATTCAAAAATATATCGAGTTTCATAAATTAAAAAAAACGTCTTATGTTAATGTTGTGCTTTTAAAAAGTGTTTGAATTAGATTTAAAAACAGAATAAAGTCAGAATTTTTGAAAACGAGTTGAATTCCGAAACTGTTAAAATGAAAAATTTAAAACATTCGATACTCTGCACCGCCAATACAACAAAAGTTTAAATATTTTGATATAATACATAAACATGGGAAAATGATTACTGTTATGAAACAATCGTCTAATTATTTTTTTTATGAGATGTGTCGTTTGTAACGCCATGGCGGATGATCAGCCGGACAATCTGAGGAATTAGCAACTTGACCACATTATTAAACAATATTACTAGTAGAGTTTTGTAAAATTTTGTACCAGGATTTCATGAGTAGGTGAGACGTTACGAGTCTACTTGATTACTATATGAGATTGGTATCGGTATTTTATTACAAATATCAAAACTAATACCAGGAGTTCATAAGGACTAGCGTAAGAAATCATATGACCAGGTCGTATAATTCTAAATGGTGTCAAGCTTTTCACCGGCGATTTTCGAGTGGCCATCAACATTATCAAACTCACTATGTTGTCGGTTGGTATTATTAATATAAAATTTATATTAAACTAATTTAGGGTACCTAGTTTAAATTACATACAGACATAGACAGAGAATTTTTTTCAAAGATATGGATATTTATATTTAAGAAGAGCTGACGAGTTAATACATAACATTTGTGTGATGGTATCTAACTTTAGTGTTCTAAAATGTGAAAGATTTTTATTTTTTAAGGTATTTAGTCACATGCATTAACACGAAAGGGATTGATTAACTATGCCTCAAGTTGATACTCTTTTAAAAGAAAGAGAGATGGAAGAACCGATTTTTTTTTTAATTATAGAATAGTATTAATTTCTGAAAAGAAAAAGATTATATGTTTTATACTTTTAAGAATTTTGCATGAGGTATAATTAATCAATCGCTTTGTATAATATAAATTGGCAATAGGTAATCCGCTGTCCCCTCAAATGTGGCCACCGGAGTGTATCAAATTTGTAAAAACTTATTCAAGACCAACGGTTGCATTTTTTAAATTAAAATATATCTTTTATAATTTTAAAATCAAATCACATTAAATAATATATATCTATTTACAATTTTAATAAAATTATTGATCATATTTGGATTTTTTTTCAAGTCCTTAAATATTTTTTTTTAATCTGTCCTCCAAATTAACAAATTTTGTATAACTTTATAAGATGCAGTTATTTATATACTTATATATATATATATATATATATAAATCATTTAATACTATTTTATCAAAATATATTTCATTGTGTTATATTATATTATATATCAAAATATTTTTAACTTAAGTACGAAGCTGGAAAAATTATATTTACCATTATGTATATTTGAAATGTACTTAATGTTAAACAGTGGGGTCATGGTACAGTATGAACGTGGCATAGTTGGGATAAATTTAGATAATATCTGATAGTGATTAAAATCATTATTATAAAAAATGCTTCGATGTAAATCTGTAGATAATGTTTAATTTTAAGAAATTGGTAAATTATTCCAAAAGCAAAAATAACTCCTATTTTTTGTTTGACTTTGACTGCCATTTGCACATAGAAAATATGTCGTCGGTACAATTTTTTTTTAACTTTTAGTACATAAAATAAACTTTATTTTAACATATATTTTAAAGACGCAGATTTCTCGGAACATTTTCAAAAGTTAAGTTGATACAAATTTATTTGTATAAATTTTTCACATTTTTAGAAAAAAAAGTCGGAATTTACCGATTTTAAAAATCGTAATTTTTTGGAGATTTCCCCCATTTACGGGGAACGAGGGAAATTTTTTCAATTTTTGAGGTTAATGTCTTCGACTAGATACGATTTGTGATATTTATTCCGAGTAAGATCGGTCTAGAGAAAGATGAGAAAAGTAGTGACAGACACAGACAAAAAAAAAAAAAACAAACAGATCATGGTAAAACTAATACGTTTTGCATCAAAGCTAAAAAAAATCATTTTTTTGGATGATTTTGCTTTTATTAAAAATAAAAACAAAAACATTTTTGCGAAAAAAAATATCTTCACATCAATCTTATTGAAATTTAATTGATGGGTTTAAAAATTATGTCAAAAGGTTTAGTGTAAGTAATTGAGTGGGTTATGATAAACGGATCACCTGTATTGAAACATTTTTCAAAATAAGTTCTTTTATAGATATAGAAAAGATTCTCATTTTATCAAATTTTGAGTAACGCAGTATCACTGACATATTTTGAATATAAATAAGTGCTTTAGACTTAAAATTTTTTTATTACAATAGTTTTAAAATTGTATGTGTTTTGACTTCGTTAATTTTCTCAATTGCGTTGTTAAAATAACGTTAAACACGAATTAAAGAAATAACGTTTAAATTTTGAGATATACAAAAATACGCCCGACAAATTTTTAATTTAGGTTATTGGATTTTTGAAAAAAATTATGTCCTATGTAGGTATCTCTAAAACTCCCCAAAAAAGTATTTATTTGCTAGAAGTTTAGAGCTTTTTATTTTTCCTAAATATTAATCTTAATTTATAAGTAAAACGCTTTTAAATAATTATTCTGTAAACGAATGTAAAAAAATGCATTTGTAACTTTATACCATCAAGTTCACATTATTATAGCTATTTTTTAGTGTTATGCGTGTTGTGTCTTAGTAAAGTTTTATAATTAAATTAACGAGTCTTGTGGAAGAAAGTTTTTCAGGTAATAATCTACTTGGGAGTATAACTAAAAAGTACATACTATACTTTTATATAAAAACGAAATGTTTGTATTTAATGATAATTGACAAGAGACATGTTTCATGCTAATTGAAGACACGTTAAGTTATAATGCGTCAGAGTTGGTTTTCGTTTTATACTTTTGGGTTATTTTCAAATTAATTACACGTGTGACTTAATGTTCATAACTTGTACCGGTGAGGAACAAACATTTACTTTTGGTTTTCAATTATAAAAAAACGTGTGTCTACAATATTCTGTAAGTTTTAAAATGTTGAAAATTTATAATTTTTCGCAAAACGTCTCCAAGTTCATAATCGCGATCGGAATAAAATATTTTTGGAACGTGATTTCTCGTCCTCCTTAAAAATATTTCTGTATACATTTACATAACTCTGTAATCACTCTTTAGATAACACAATGTTATACTTACAGAGGTTGGCAAGGAAGGCGAATACAGTAACGGAGGGGTACGGACATCGGCCGGCATCACATGAAATGTACCACCACAAGAACCAGGTCGTCCGACCGCGGGAAGGTCTGCTGTAGATCCGTTCCGAGTGGCGTTTACCGGTTGGACACGTTGCACCAATGCCGAATCGATCGCNGGCCGGCATCACATGAAATGTACCACCACAAGAACCAGGTCGTCCGACCGCGGGAAGGTCTGCTGTAGATCCGTTCCGAGTGGATTGATCGACGTTTACCGGTTGGACACGTTGCACCAATGCCGAATCGATCGGGGTAAGAACATGACTGGGCTCGGGTGTGCTCACCATTGTAGAAACAGTAGTCTTCAACAGGACCGCGTGTAGTTGGTAATTATTTCACCGAGTTGTAGCAGATCGACGGGTACCAGCATAATCATTGTCACCGCGTTGACTAAACGTAGATGACACGCCGCGTGTAAAGTGTCTGTATTATTATCCACGTCTGTATTTAATGCAGGAGAAGGTAAAAAAACCTCGACGTTTGTTTGTTCAAATGCGTTAATTTATTTGTGTACACGGCGGCCCATGTTAATGCGCTACACTTATTACCAAACGACTAATTTTGTCGTCGCAACTTTTTTACGAATATTTTTATGTCGTTTAATTGTTATCTTTATTTTACTATAGTCTGGTAACCAGGTCTATGCCACAACGTACTAACTCTTGGGATTTATTGTTCAAAAACATTAAATCGAAAACCGGACGACCGATTATGGCCTTATCTTCTATTGTGCGAGTACATTGGCCATATGACCTGATTTGCATTATTGCTATTCGTATGTACCATCGAGTATACTAATTTTTGATAATGGGAACTTGATAATCACTTTGAGCATTGTTTACGTCAAAAATTACCATTAGGGACAAGAAGACTATTTAATTGTAAAAATACGACTGTGAAAAAGATATTTTATTTTATAATTGTGCGACAACAAAAAATAATTATTTTTGAAAAAAATATTTTTGTATTTCGAAATTATACAACGTTAGAAAAACTATACAATACAAATTACTGTATATTTATATAATATTATTAAATAACAATCAACTTTGATGAATAAAGTGCAATTACGCAAATTATTAAAAAGTAACTCTTACCCGGACGTCACATGATTTTTAAGTTATACAATTTCATTTAGATGAAAACGTAACGTATTTTACATATATATTGCTCTAAAATAAAAGTTTATATTTTGTACAAAATTATGAAATAAATTAAATTTTTCAATGGTTTCAAAGAAAATAAACTTTTGTTCTAGGAAAAATAAGAAAATAATGATATCGTTAAAATAATAAAAAGGTTTTCAAAGGTAAGCAAAACGAGATCAAACGCAGGGTTTATTCATACAAAATTTAATTTTTACTTATCGTTATAATTTTAATGAAAATAAATAGTTTTTAACTCTTAAAATAAAGACAATAAATCAGAATGACATTACTACTTTTACAAAAAAAAAAACAAAATTTGTGAATTTTGACATTTTTATGGTTCTTAACGCTGCAAAAGTACGTGTATTTTAATGTTATTTAGTGTTTAAAAAAAAAAATCATATTATAACTTTAAGAAAATTATGAAAAAATTGTTTGACGAATATTAAATTTATTAGCTTATTAAATAGCTCATTCTAGCATGAGCATTTTTTATCTTATCAATTAGGTTTTATGAACGTATAAAAAAAATTAATGTTTTATTCAGTCTTGGGTCAAGGAAATTTTAGCAATCATGGTCCTATGTCTCGATGAGATAAATTTTTAGTTGAACACACTAGTAGTAGAAATTATTTAAGTTCTACAAGTGACAAAAATTGAGAGTTTAGTTTCGGGTTTTAAATACATTTTATATGGTTTAGTTTTATTTGAATAAAAATTTTAATTTAAAAGTTAAATATAATGAATATTGAAAATTTATGTCGGTATTTTTTTTCTTTAATATTTTGAATTTCCTATCCTTTGATTAATATTAAAGTATGTTTAAATGATTAACGTTCAAATTGTTCAAAATATATTTATTTATGAAAAATAGTAAGTAGAGGATGATGTAGAATAAATTTGAATGAATAGTATAATTGAAAAAAAAAGTTTTATAAAGAAAATGTTTAAAATTTTTGTCTTTATTTTACTGACACAAATAACTACAGTAGTGTGGAATACACTTAAGGAATAGAATTTGGTAATTTTAAGTAATATCTACTGAATATTCTAAGATAATAGTGACTCCATTTTGTTTGCATTTACCAAACATCATTTTATAATATTTGTTCTTATTTATGCATAATATTGTATAATTTGAATGCTGTAATGAATAACAGAAATTAATACGTTTTCTCGTTGAAAAAATATGTGATTTTTATTCTAGTGTAAGTCTACACATACCATTTCTATAGCTGTCATTCAGTAGATTTTTTAAAATAATATATCAATTTTGAGATTAAATGATGAGTAATTTCACTTTACCTAATGAATTGATTTCTTAACTTTATATTGTACTACAAAATTCAAAATCCCTTTAATGTAAATTTAAATAGTTAAACAGCTAAGGAAGTTCTACGATGAAACATCAAATAAATATTAATACTGCGATGAACAATTATGTTTATTTTATTATATTACATGGTATGAAATAATAATTATTACATAATTTTTATCAAACACAAATTTCTCAAACTATTCTAATAATTAAAAAATTTAAAATCTACCTTGATTAACAAAATTTAATAGTAAAAAAATATAATTGAAAAGAAAATTATTTATGCAATGTATAGATTCAAAATTAATATTTCAAGTACATACGTGGTGGTATTCATAGTATTAAATATGTTAATTAAGTTTATTTCTCAAATCGTATTTATATATGAAAATAAATTATTTACATAATCCTTTCATTAATAAATAACTTCATTAATATAAAATTATATAAATTTAAATAAAGAATTAATCGTCAACATTTTTCACGAATTAGAAAAATATCGAGAGTGACTAATTGTTTGACCATGAATAAAAAGTCATGCAATGTATATGCATTTTTATTGGAATGTATCGTTTAATCTATTTAAAATAAATCCAAGACTGCAGTTAATTTAATACCTCTATTAAAGATATTTTTTTTTAACTAAAAATTACCCTTATGTCTACATGGTAACCTTTATTCTTTGCTCATCACTCTTTTCTGTGGGCTAACATTACCACAAAGCTCCAAAAATTTGCCAACCTGTCGCGCTCACGCTGGTTATTATTTGATTTTTTTATGAAATAAAATTGTCTAATAGTGATTTTTTATCATTTATTTAAAATAGTACATTGTCTTATTTGGTATTTCTATTTAAAAATATTAATTTTATTATTATTCATGTAACAGTTTTTATAAATTAAACACTGTCAACAATTATTAGTAGAAAAAATATGTTTTCATGATAATCAAATTATGATTAGTGTGACAACAACAATATTTTCCAAAACAATCGGTGTAAGTTGCCATTATTTTATTAATTTCGTCGTTTTTACTATACTAAACATGTTAGTTATAAGAATTTTTAATTTCCGACGGTAAATTGATCATTAATTATGTGTTAATTGGCATCTTATTTGTAAAACATTTTATTCTTAAATTTGAATTATATATTACATAAACACGTTTTATAATTTTTAAATCTAATAATGTATAAAATTGCTTGTAACTCAATAATAATTTATCCTAAAATTGTTATTGATCCATCAAAAATTTTTATAAGAAAATAGTTAAAAAAAACGGTAGCACAGTGGGGTCGAGGCACAGTATAGACGTGGCATAGATGAGATAAGTATAGATGATATCTGACAGTGATTAAAATCACTATCATATGAAACGCTTCGATGCAAATCTGTAGATAGTGTTTCCTTTAGAGAAATTGGTGAAATATTTTAAAAGCAACATGAACTCTTATTTCTTTAATTATATCCTGATTAGTAGTTCTTTGATTTTAAAATATAATATATGAATAAATACTAATTATAGTTTTTAAATTTAGTATGAAATTGTGAGGCCAGCTATGATGTATGGTTAATAGTGTTGGGCGGTTGATAAGAAAGTAGAGCAGAGAATAAGTGTAGCAGAGATGAGAATGCTTAGTTGGATGAGTGGAGTGACTAGAGAAGATAGGATAAGGAACGAGCATATAAGAGGAAGTATAGGTGTTGCGTCAATCGTGGATAAGATGACAGAAAATAGACTTAGATTGTTTAGTCATGGTATGAGGAAAGAAGAATCGAAAGCTGTAAGAACAGTTATAGAAATGAATGTTGAAGGAAGAAGAGATAGAGGAAGACCAAAAAAGAGATGGAGGGATGCTATTGAATGCGATTTGAGGACAGCTGATGTGAGCGTAGAAGATGTGGGAGATCGTGTCAAGTGGAAGCTTAGGATAAGGGTGGCCGACCCCAAGTAGTTGGGATTAAGGCAAAGAAAAAGAAAAATATTACCAGAAATTCCGGTGGCAATTGACATAATATGATTGTTGTTTCGGAATGTACAATTTAGCGTTTAGTTGGGTTTAAATAATATAGCGTCAAATCAATTACCTACTCTATCGGTTGTATCTCAATATACACTACACTTTAATGATACAATAAATAAATAAACTCACACATACACACATATGCATTTATAACATTGTGTCTAATGTAAGTATAACATGATAAAAAGTAACCGTAAAATGAAAAAAATGGAATATAAATTTTATTACTCATATTAAATGTAATGTAACTCGAAAAATATTTGTTTAAATGAAAAAATATAAGATTATATTTTTATTTATAATTGTCTTTTAAACAACTTTTGTGCGAAACTTTTTTTTGTAAGTTAAATATTTTTTTTTGAGAAAATTAAGAAAGCTCATATTTTTGAACTTTTGCGAGGATTTAAAAAAAAAGCTCAATTCCAATCTTGAGGACTATTAGTATGTCATTATACATATTTTAATTCAACTTTTAAAAAAACAAAATTTTTTCCGCAATTTTTCCTTTGTTGACAGGCCTAGATGTCAATTTTAAACTTGTAATTGAGCTAAAAGTTATGGTAATATATTCAATTTATTTTACTATAAACTTTCATAAATCTTTATCAAAAATTTTTCATCAACTTTAAAGAACCAAAAAAATAGGTTAAAATTGAAAATTTGGACTGATTATTTTTAACATATTAAAAATCAAATCAGTAATAATTTGAAAACAAATTTTTTTTTCTTTTAATTATTATTTTATATATATAATTAGTAATAATATAAAAAATTAGAAGTGATAGAAATAGTCTACTTGCAGATTTGAAAACAACGCGAAAATTTGATTTAGAAAAGTATATTTTTGCTTCTGATGAAAGTTCCTTGTAGTCCAGTGCATTTTTTTATAGTAACAAACAGTTTTTATTGAAAATTATTGTATCAAGCCCTTTAAATTTTTATACACGTAAAAGTAAAGCAAAATATAACTTCTTTATTATTTTTATAATTTCTCCGTTTAAATTACAATATTAAATATCAATTTCATACTAAATTTAATAATTATAATTAGTATATATTCATATATTATATTTTAAAATCAAAGAACTACTAATCATGATATAATTAAAGAAATAAGAGTTGATGTTGCTTTTGGAATAATCCACCAATTGCCTAATTAAAACAAAAAAAAAAAAAGTTTGTTGGGAATTTTTTCTGCTATTCTGCAAAATTACTCCTTCGTTGACTAGAATGAATCATTAAATAGAAAATTTTATGAGAATTAAAACAATGTTATTTTTAAGATTAATATGCAGTCAGAAAGTTTTATAATTATTATTTATTGTAAATTTATCAGAAAAACTCATTATTTTTTGCATTTTTATCGTAATAGAACACTTAAATAGAAATCATAGTAATCATTTCTAAGTAATTTTTGATATTTAAAAAGATTCTACTATTGAAATATCCAGAACTGAATTAATTTTAATGATTTACTTTAACTAAAAAAAAAAAAGTTAATATTTTGAATCCCTCTTGTGGGCAGGTAAAGGGTTAGATTTATAAAAAAAACCAAATGATAGATAAAGACATGCATCTAAATAAAAAAAAATATACTGATTTGGTCATTTTTGATAAAGTTATAACAATTAACAAAGTTATAAGTTTTATACACTGGACTACAAGGAACTTCCATCAGAAACAAAAATATACTATTCTAAATCAACTTTTCGCGATGTTTTAAAATGTGCAATTAGACTTTTTCTATAACTTCTAAGTTTTAATATTATTAAAAAATAGTTTTTACATATAAAAAAAAATAATTAAGAACAAAAAAAATTGTTTTAAATTAATACTGATTTGATATAATATTTAATATTAATTTGATTATTAATAAGTTAAAAATAAGGAAAATGACATATTTAACCTATTTTGTTAATCGTTTAAAGTTGATTGTTGTAAATGTTTATAATAAAAAAAAAAAATTTATTTTACCATAACTTTTAGCTCAATTGGTAAGTTTGACATTGACATAATTAAATAGAAAATTTTATGACAATTAAAAAAATTGTATCGTTAAGATCAATATGCAGTCAGAAAGTTTTATAATTACTATTTATTGTAAATTTATCAGAAAAGCTCAATATTTTTTTGCATTTTTATGGTAATAGATAACTTAAATAGAAGTAATAGTAATAATTTCCTAGGAACTTTTGTTGTTTGTTGAAAAGATTCTATAATTGAAATATTGAGAACTTAATTAATTTTAATGATTTACTTTAACTAAATGTACCAATCAAAACAAAGTTGTTAAAAAGATTTACTCAATTGAGTGTATTATAAAATTTGATTATATTTGTAAAAATCAATTGTTAATTCAGGAGAAAAAACAATCATTTTTTTTAGAAATGATTTATATAGCAACATGTTACAAAAAAAAATTGTAATATTATAGTCTAGTAGTAGCACACACAAATAGAGTAAAAAAATTATTAAATTACAAAGTAAAATGATTTAATTTTGTAGTTGAAACCTATCATATCAAACTTCATT